GGTAAACAGGTAAACAAACTGTGTCGACGTTGGGCTTCAGCCAACAGACTCACAAAGTGGCTGGAGTCTGACATCACCACCGTCAGTCTGTTCAGCACTCTGATTGGACGGGACCGACCCTGCACCACGGGCAGCTGATCGATCAGCTCATTGATCGGACAGGGGACGGGGACTTCCTGCAAACAGCACAGAAACACACACTGACAAAATAAAAGTCTGAGCTCGTACTTCCAAAACAAAAGCCTGGGTTTGAACGCACCTGTTTCTTGGTGGTCGTGGGTTCGAACACGTAGTTGATGGCGATGGTCGAGAACCCGACTGCACAGAACAGAACAGAACATGAGCCCGCTGAGCTTGTTCCTGTGAGGTTGTTCTCGTTAAAAAGCAGTTTCGTGGTTCTAACGTGTGGCCGATTGTTCCTCTGGATCACGTTTGTTTGTGAAATGTCTCAGACAGTGTTGTTCTGTTAAATGTCACCGAGAACTTTAAAAAGGAAGAATTTTCAAAGCAGTCTGGTTCTACGGTTTGGTGTAATTCAGGGAGGAGAACGTGGGCTCTGGGTTTCATAATCCCCTAATAATGATCAATAAATCCTGCTGTAGCGGAGAGAGCGCTTGTCGGGGCGCTCATTGATCACATAGAACGAGTTAAGGTTGGTTTCATAGAATCTGGCGTTTCGTAAATACAGCGAAGAACTCTTAAAAGGGCAGAAATCTGAAGGGACTCTGGTGTAGAGTTTCCTCTGACCCAGCGACCCCGGAGCCCCGCTGCCGCCGGAACCACCGACCCGTCCGGCGGCAGCGGGGTCTGGCTGACAGACTCACGGTGAGCTGCGGTCTCTACGACGCTCTGCAGTCGGTTCCGGTCCGAGGAGAAAAGCACGTTCAGGTCCATAAACACCGACATGATGCTGCCGTCCGCCGCGCGACACACGTGTTCAGCCGCAAGGCCTGCTGGGAGACGAAGTCCTGTTGAGCGTCCATCACCGGACAGGAAGCACGCGCTGTGATAGCCATAGTGTCACCTGTCGGGCAGTTAAACTCTGTTTGTTCTGTCTGGAAGTTATTTATCAGATTTATAAGATAAGGTCAGAATAAAGTTCAAGACTGACCGGAAACTGTTTCTAATAAAACCTAAATAATAATAATAATAATAATAATAATAATAATAATAATAATAATACACTGTAAAACCTGAAAAATAATAATAAAAAAGATAAAGAGGAAAATAAATCAACTATGAATTATAAGAATAAGAATGCTGAGTGTCCGACAGGGGGCAGCAAAACTAAATAACCAAAGACGAATCAGCAGCAGCAGCAGAAGAAGAAGAAGAAGAAGAAGAAGAAGAAGAAGACTTTCCTGATTTTCCGAATCAGAACCGAACTCGGAGCTGAATCTGAGCTGTCGGTGTTAAATGTGAGCTCGGTGTGATTCGGCACAAAGGTCCAGTTGACGCAGCGACTGTAAAACGGGTTTCATTGTGTCACACAGGCTGCAGTGACTCAGCTCCTGGTGGACGGAGGTTCTGCGAACTGAACCAGAATATTTACTGTGTTTGTGCTGAAGAAAAGCAGTTTGTTTGATTAAATATGCGCCGAAGTGAGCAGCGGAACCTGCAGATTCCAGTTAATGTGTAAAATCTGCAATAAGTTCTACGGAGTTCTGAAGGAAACGAGCGAACTCGTAAATTCCAGATTTTTTAAAGAAGGTTCGGCTTGTTTTTCTCAACCTGAACAGAACCGTGAAGTTCGTCCTGAAGGGGGCGCTGCAGCTGAGACCAGTGACATCATTCATCCAGCTGTTCAGGTGTTGGGTCACGTCACCAGCAGAACCAGCCCGGTCCGGTCCGGTCCGGTCCGGTGGCGGCCATGTCTAGACCTCTGAGGATCCTCCTGTCATGTCCACCAACCCGCCGCTGCTCCAGCTTCGTGTCCAGGATGAGGTTCAGCTGATTGATTGATTGACTGATTGATT